TCTCTCTCTCTCTCTCTCTCTCTCTCTCTCTCTCTCTCTCTTTGAGCCTAGTTATCTTGCCACGTCTGGGTACCCTGGCCCGGCTCTCTGGTTGTACCGTGGAGGTGTACGTTGGTGAGGAGCAGGACCACACTTACATGCTGGGATGGTGCAGTCCCTGGTGTTATGGTACAGCCTGTGGAAGTGTTTTCTGCACTGGGGGCTGAAGTAGAGAGGACCTGAAACAGGAGGGAGAATAAAGTCATGAAGACTCTGGCTGACAGCAGAGAATGGAGAGGCGTGAGGGACATTCACTCACCTGTGAGATGCTTCAAAAACCTGTCCTTCATTCTGAGATCTCGAGGGACGATTTCTGGGTGCTTGGGAAAGGCTGCGTGAAAGAAGCACTTTTAAAACACAATCTTGCACGAGTACTGAGCACTCATTCCCATATCTCAGCATGAATGGAATGGGGAGTGCCCTGCAGATGCCCCAGGGATCCTCACGTCAGGGACTGCTTTTTGCTCAAGAGTACGGGCTGCTCATAAAGCTCTAAGATTTTTTTGTCTGTCCTCTACAACTAGGGTAGATACAGAGACTAGAAAGAGAAGGGGGTGAAGAAAGTTGCTTTTTTTTTTTTTGACAGCTTCCAAGGAATTGCTTACTTTTAGATATTCATTTCAAAGAGCTTGGTAATCAAATCCCATAGCATTTCAAAGTTCTAGAAAGAAACTCTGATCCTTCAAACAAAAGTAAATTATGTCACAGAACATGATGCATTGCAGGCAAATATTTAGAAAAAGGAGTAAATGCTTTAAGAGCACTGGTTCATCGGGGTGATGTGCTCGAGTAGAAACAGACATCGAGCTGGGTTATGAGATGGGCACAGGACTCCCAGGAACAGTGATCTCTAAGCCAGCCTCTCTCACCCCTGCCACCTGGTCCCCAGAGATGAGAGCTGGATACCTTTCTGGCTCTGGGCTTTGTTTTTGTTCCTTTACAGTGGTCATTTGTATCCCTCAACGTGGGCTACTTACTTTACATTGTATGTGATATGGCCCTTTATCTCCCCAAAGGCTGCTGCCCTCCCCACATCTGGAAGGGACTCTGGCCTCTCACTGTCCCATGTGTTGGGGGGAGATGTGTCCCTAATGGCAGTCTTCACTCCAGTCAGTCCACATCAACTTGACCGTATCATTTCTGACCCAATTGTGTCATGAAAGCATTAAAAGCTCAAACGCTTTCCGGGGGAATCCCCCACGGGGCGGCCACTCTGGGAAGGGCTTGACCGAAAGAAAGCAGGACTGTCCCTTTGCAGCTGAAAGGACTGTCTTGACAGTACTGCCAGCTCCAGAGTCACAAGGCCAGTTCTGTGCAGACCTGCCCTGTCCCAGAAGCACGCTAGGGACGGTCACCTGCCAGCCCTCAGGCACAGACGCCTGTTTCTGCTGGTTTCTTTTTCTTTGAGAAAACAACAGAACCTTTTTTTTTAATTAATCAAAACTGATTTCTCTTTTCAACTGTATTTCTCAATAAACCATTCTATTTCCAAGCGAATACCAATCCCGAATGACTTCAGACACAGAAGTCAGGCAGTTGGGGGCAGCCCCACGGCGCACACTACCTCCACCCTCTCTGTCCGTTGGCTCACACAGCCTGCCTAGGACTCATCCACTGTGCCCCTAGGGTCTTTTCCTCGGTGCACACAGCCTAGCCGGCACGCTCATCCACTCTGCCTTTTGGATTCCCCACTGCCAGAGCTCTTAACCTCCTGTGCCCCTTGTTCTACACAACCTGCTTGGGGCTCTGACACAGTCTCTACAACTCTGGGTCCACACTGCCTAGACCCTCCCTTCACCTCTGCCCTTCAGTCCATACTGCCTGCCTGGACCCTCACTCTGCCCCTCAGGGTCCGCACTGCCTGGACCCTTTTCTGCCTCTAGGTCCACACCGCCCGCCGGGACACTCACCCACACTCTGCTCCTCCCCGTCCGTCCCGAAGTCCGTTTCCGCCCCGCAGCCCAGGACGATATCAGGGTGGCTAAGCAGTTGCAGCCGCTTGGCCTCGTTCGGGGGCAACTCTCGCAGCTCCTGGGCCAGGTCGTCCAGCAGCAGACGCAACAGCGACCCTCGGTCGAGTGAGCTCTTGGGTTGCGCGCGTCCACTCCCCGGGCCAGCCGTACCCAGCACAAGCAGCAGCCCGAGGAGCAGGGCCCGCCCGGGCGCGCGCATGGCCCGGATGCGGGGGACAGAGGGTGCACGGGTCTCCAGCTCCTCTGGGCCACGAGGCCTCCCCACGCAACTTTCTCCTCTGCCCTGGCTTTGGGCCTGGGTTCGCGCCGCCACCTGCGCCTGCAAGGACTCCAGCGCCGTCGGCCCGGCTGGGTCGTGCGCCTGGGTTGGAGTGCGCTCGGGTTGGAGTGCGCCTAGGTCCCAGTGCGCCTAGGTCCCAGTGCGCCGGGATCTGCGTGTGCCTGGGTCCTAGTGAGCCCTGGTTCGAGGGTGCCCAGGTCCCAGTGCTCCGAGGTCCGTGTACGCCTGGGTCGCAACGCGCCCTTGTCCGTGTACCCGGGTCCCAATGGGCCCTGGTCCGAGCGCGCCCGGCTCCGTGCGCCCGGATCGGAGTGCGCTCTGGTCCGTGCGTCTCTGGCTGAGTGCAGCAGGGTCGCAGGACGCGAGTGGCTCCGCTCCAAGTGGACCGCGGACGCCCTGTGCTGGCGCGATCCCGGCCGCCCGCTTCTTATGCCAGCGGCCGCCGACGCAGGCGGGTCTCCTGGCGCAGCGGCTTCAATCAGCGCCCCCGAGCGCTCCGCGGCCCTACGCTCGTCAGACCCCCCGGCCCGCGCCCCCGCCCCTCCTCCCGCTGCCCCGCCCGTCTCCCCGCCCCTTCCTCCCCGCCCCCGCCTCGATCCCCTCTCCCCGTCAGGTTCCCGGGTTCCTGTCACTTGTGACAGGATGAGAAGAGACGCCTTTGCCGGGAACTCGGATCTGTTGTGTCTAAATGTAGATCTCGGGCTTTTAAAGAGGAGTCGCCTGACTGCCTGGCATTTCATAAGTGAATTCGAGCCACTCCGTGTCGGGGGACCTGCAGGCGTGGCACCCGTCTACATCGCCCGATCCGGGTATCGGCCGAGGGAGGCGACGCTCGGAGATGCTACGCCTGCACTCTGCCTCCACTGCTGCGTACCCTGGTTATGGCTCGGCACCTGCGAGAGGGTTCAACAGCTTACTTCCTTGAAAGCTTTTTCTTGTAAAATGTGTTATCAGGCGATTGCGCACTTTCCCGTTTTATGGGCGCTTTCTGGGCAGGAGCTGGACGTTCTCCAAGCGATCCGGTTTGGAAAGGTGTGAGCTCCGGACCGGAGAGACCGAGCGCGGGCCAGACGAGCCTCCCCGGGCAGGTGCGCACCGCCGCCGCCAGGTCCCAAGGACAGGGACGGCTGAATCCCCGTGCCTGTATCCGTCAGTCTGTCCGTCCTTGTGTCCTTCTGTCTCCCGTGCTGGGCCCTCGTCCCTGCACTGGGTCTGTTTTCTCGGGAAGAGAAGGTGTTTGCAGCGCGGAGTGGGGTGGAGGTGGAGACAGCGAAAGTGACTCTTGGTTGTGCGCCTGTGTCTCTGCGCTCTTCCAAAGCAAAGGGTTTGGTTTCCAAGTGAGAGATTTTGTTTTATTTTAGATTTTTGTGTTTGTTTGCTTGTCCTGTTTTTTTTTTTTTTCTGCATGCAGTATGAATGCAACGCAAATATTTCTGATGAATGCACTCAGGAAAAAGTTAAGTTCCTTGTCACACAGGTGGATAAACGGGGACATACTTACTTTCCTTGTCTGAGGAGAAACCAGTTCCTCTTGCAAGAGCGACGCCTGCTGTCCATTTTCCCAGCGGCTGCACAGCTGGTTTAACTCTAATCCCCCACTGTGAGGCTTCCTTTTAAATTATTTTTTAATTTTTCCCCATAGTCCCATATTATTTTAGGCTTACCTAGACTCTTTTTTAAAAAATAGCGTTTGTTTCACAGAATCGAAAGCGACTCTTTTGAAAACAACACCATTCTGCTCTCACACACAAATTCTCCCAACCACAGAAGAGCGATGAGTTTCTCTCTTGTCTTGCTGTCTTTGATGGATGGGTTTCTTGACTGACTCTTTTCGACCATCAACTGCATGTGCAACCCTCACTCACTGGATACTCACAAGCAGGAATAGAGGACACAATCAGATGTCGCAATCAAATGGCTTCAGGAAATACAGCAGCTGAGGACAAGACGATTTACGTGTTCATTCATTCATGTGTGAAAAGTTCTGCCCTGAAGTAACACCAGGTGCCCTCATTTTATATAAATAATTTGTACAGATGTTTAAAAACTTAATTGAAAGAGTGTGCTGTTTTACTGGTCTGCGCTGAACTTTGCAATTTGCAATATTGTCAGACTGAGGCGCATGGCATCCTCCAGTTACCAGACATGTACACTCTCTTTGTGACCTGCACACCTGACCAGTGTGTTCTCTGGCCATGGAGCTAACACAGGAAAGCAGAACAAGTCACAGGGTCACTGAAGTCCTCCTGACAAATCAATGGTCTCTCCGTGTCTTTTTTGGCACTGTTCCTACTAGAAAACTATATAATTCTGTGGTTGTTACTGAAAAAGCCCCCAAAACAACAAAATGCGATGTTTCCCAAAGAAAAAGTTGTCACTTGAGGCATCACTATGAGCTTCGTCCTTTAATTTCAGGCAAAAAGAGGTGCTATAATCATATTAAGTAATATAATTTCCTCCTAATAAGTGAACAGCCATCTACTGTCAAAGGTCCAAAAGGCCAAAAAGGTAAGAGAGAAACTGAGATCAGACTACATTCTAGAATTCCTGATGAAAAAAATTATTTCCTCTGGTATGTTTGAGCTATTTTCCTTTTTGAGAAAATTAGGATGGACCATAGAAAGAAGAATCCAGGCAGGAAAAAGTGTCTTTAATTTATTGAATACCCATGTAATGAGATGGGATTATTTTTTCAGGTTATTATAAGTGAAGTTATTAATAAAATTCCTGCCTTTCAACTGCAATCATTATTGTCTTGTCCTTAAAAGGCATATGTTTATTTTTAGATAAATATTAACTGCCTTCAAAAACTTCTACAATATATAGAAGAGTCCACCAAAAAATATATACACACTGCAGGAAAAGAAAAATAGTATGATGTTTCTTTACTAGATGGTGTTACACTCATATGAGGGACCCTAGAGGACATTGTACATCTCAGAAAACCCACTACACTGCTGGCCCTTACAGAAGAAATTGAAAATTCTTGTGTAGCAATCTTGATGACCAAAGTTACCCAAGCAGCAGTTTGCTGTACTAATAAATGGAAGCTAATGGCAACCACTTGGAGCACCTCTTGTATTTGTAGAGGCCAAAAGTAACTTGTATTAATCTCATAATGTTTCAATAAATTTAGTATTAAAATATTTATGCAAGTTTTTTTCTCTTTCTCAAGTGTGTATACATTTTTGGGGCAGACATGTTTTAAAATGAATTGTATTTGTTCAACCATTATGTTAATCATTTAACAATCTAACAGCTCTTATTAGAAAGAAAAACAATCACCTTTCATACATGATAACGTATACAACAATGAAATATTGCTTAATGTTCACTTTTACCAGTTCTGTTGTTTTTACTACCAATATGCTATTTTTGTGCTAGAAATGTACTAGAAACTCTGCAAAGATTTTAGCAGGACAAGACTTCTCACAGGACCAATTTCCGAATATATACCAGGTATAATCAAAAGATACCATGAATGTTTAAGTTAAACAAATTACAATAAAAGACACATTGCTGCAAATCCCCCTCAAAATTGTCCCCCTCACTTTGAACACACGTGTCCCATCATCCTTGCCACTTTCTGAAGCAGCTCTGGAGTCTTCTTTCCTGAGTGTCTTTAGTTGAGCTATATTGACTCCCTCAATGTCCTGAATCAATTCAAAACATTTCCCTTTCATGGTCATTTTGGGTTAGGGGAAGAGCCAGAAGGCACACAGTGCCTGATCTAGTGACTTAGGAGGTAGAAGACCCATCACCTCGACACCCATGCTATAAATATGACTCCAGTGGCCTCTGGATGCCTTACTGCCTGGAATGCCTGCATATGAGGAAACAAACCCCTTGGCACTCCAGGAAGCAAGTTCCCCAAGGCCCCTCTTCCCAACATGGAAAGCCTTGGAATCACCATGGAAAGCCTTGGAATCAAATTTGCATGCCCGCATCTCCAAGCTTCTGATGGCTGTGACCTGCTGACATTCATGCTATAAACATGACTCCAGCGGCCTCTGGATGCCTTGCTGCCTGGAATGCCTGCATATGAGGAAACAAACCCCTTGGCATTCCAGGAAGCAAGTTCCCCAGGGCCTCTCTTCTCAACAGATACCACCATGGAAAGCCTTGGAATCAAATTCGCATGCCCGCATCTCCAAGCTTCTGATGGCTGTGACATGCTGACTCCTGCTATGCATGTGGGCTGCCCTTCCCACTGTCTTCCCACTGTCCTTCCCACTGTCCTCCCACTGTCTCAGTGCAAAGCCCTTGGCTTATTTTGGTGCTAGCACCTAAACCCTCCTTGACTGCACCTTTAAACACATTCCTTTTCTCAACCAGCTGGAATTTTTCAAGTCTTTCATCTCTGCCCCTCCTCGCTTCTGATTGCCACTGTCAGTTTTGTTAAAGCATCTAGTCGTAGCCAAGCCACAACCTGAATTCTGTGCTGCTAATTTCTAGTCATAAGACTCTGCCAGGTATATTCCATCACCTTTAAGATTGACTACCTGCAATAGCTCAGAGCACGAATACAATGCATCTAAGTCCTTAGCCAGGGTATTCTAAGGTGATTTCCTGTCCAATCTTTATTTTTTTATTATTATTTTTTATTTTAAAGAGAATTAAAAAAAGAACAATAGCAAAATGCCAACAACATAGACAAAAACAAAACAAAACAAAGCAAAAACAGTAAGAGTGGCACAGGGTTTCAGAACAAAATGATAGGGATTAACAGTGGTTGTTATATTACATTTTTTTATCTTCAGCAAAGTTGGTCTGTCCCAGCCCGCGGGTACAGTCAACGTGAACCCTAGAGGGGGAGTGGGGATTATAAAGGGACAAGAGACACGAAGAATGGAGACAAAACAGTGCTCTGATCAAGTCTCATTTATTAGCGGGAAGTGTCGTCCTTATATACGGCACGGAGAAACACGGAAGTTCTAAGGCGGGAATAACCAAATAACCCGACAAAGGCGGGAGTAACTAGGTAACGGTGGGTAGTCCTAGTTCTTGAGGCGGGAGTAGCTAGGCAATGGTAGGCAGTCATGACTTAAAGGGAAAGGCACGTAAGACGGCTACTAATATACAATGGAGATCAGTCACGGTCTCCTACATTGGTCAGATTACCAGATGGAAGAATGCAAGATTAATCAAATCATTAAAGAGAATAAAAAATAAAAACAAAAAAATTATAAATGATACAGAGTTTCACCAAACAAGATGAAAGGAATTCAACAATGGTTGTTATGTTGCATATTGTGGTCTTCAAGTTAGTTGTTCAGATTACCAGATATAGTATGCAAAACTGGTCAAAAATAAATAAATGAATAAAGCATTCACTGTTCCTTTCAATAGACCATTAGACATCAGCATCCAGTTCAATCTTCATTTTCAGCCGAATCTTGATTTTCAGCTGAGGCCCCATCAGTATAACCTTTACTATCCAATTTCCCATCAACATTCTGGACTTCTGAGCCCCAAGGAATGACCTATTAAGCTGGACTTGCAACAT